TATTAAAATTTCTTTATATATTAAAATATCTTTTTCGGTTATAATATCGATATCCATTTTATTATTTGGAATAATTATTAATACAATATTTATAATAAAAAAAATAAAATAAAATAAAGGCATAAATTATATTAATATTCAATAAAATTAATCTCTTCTACATCATTAAATATTACTCCATTATATTCACAATTCTTTATATTTTTAAAAGTAACAACTAATTTCTTTTTTTTAACATTACCTTTGTTAATATGAACTTTGATAGGTTCTTTATCATTAATTACTAATTTATGTTTATTTTTATTAATAGGCCAATTTAAAAATTCTTGAGAATTTTGTAATAAATCATTTAATTCATTCGCTCTTCTTCTCTTTCTCTTTTTTTTTTCAGGAATAAAGTCACTATCATGATTTTTTTCACGTTGCTTTACTAATTCATCATCAGATGAATCAATTATAATCTTTCTTTCAAGATTTCTAAGATTGAATTTTTTGAACTTATCAAATTCAGTTTTATTATTTTTTGTAACTATACCAGATTCTATAATTTGTTCAGAAATTATTTCATCTACTTCATTCTCACTCTCATCAAGATTCGATTCTTCTATTATTTCTTGATTCATCACTAATGGTTTCCATGAAATTTTTTCTTTAAAAACTTCAAAAGATCTTTATATTCACATATATTAACACTCTTATTATTGTAAGGTATATTCTGGTTTGAAAAAATAAAAATTCGTTCTAATTTGATATTTTTATCTAAATTGTTAATAATCTTGTCGATTTTATAAAGAGGTACATCTCCTTGATATTGGTATATTCCATATATTAAGAATGTTTCGAAATTATAGATCCCTTCACAACTAAATATAGTAGTTCCTACATCTTTGTATTTGCATGATATATTAAATCTTTTATAAAATTTGTTTTTAAAATTAATCTTGAATGTTTCGAAACTGAAATTTAAAATCTTATCAAATTCCATTTTAATTTTTTCTTGTCTCTAATCTATATTTCAATTTATAAAAAAAAATATTTTAAATAATTAATAATATAATCTATTCAATTAATAATTATAAACTTATAAATAATTCAAAAAAAAAAAATAAAAAATAAAAATCAGAAATATGAAAGGAAAAAAACCTATAACGTATAATGACAAATTATATGGAAATAATTATCAAATTATGAAAATTAAGAAAAAAAAAGTTATCCCAAATAACAATAAACCTCGTAAAAATAAATTAGAATGTCGAAAATGTGAACACCAAGATGAATCATTTCATTATATTTCGGATAGACTTGAAAGAATTGAAAAAATGATCAATGAATATAGTGATAATATCGATAAATTCGTTCCTAGCAAATTAGATTTTT